TCCCCGGTCAGGCCCTTCTTTTTGCGTTTTGTCACTCTGGCCTTCAACCCAACCCTGCTTATAAGTAACTGTCTTTCTTTTTGCCCCATCATTAAGGTTATTTGTAGAGTTTAGAACCATTTCATTGCCCGCTCTGCGGGATGTCACATGATGGATCGAGCCGCTTGTGGAGGTCTCGGTGAGATGGTGGTGAGATATGTAGATGGTGTGAAGTTCCATGTAATTTGTTTCAGTCAAGTAACTCGATTTTGGCTAATATCAAAGTACAACCCGTTTGCTGAGTTTCTATTTTGCACAAGTCTTGCAATTCCTCTATCACTGAAGCACAATCGGCTTATTGTCAACCAGGCTCCAGACCTAACGTGTACATACATATGTATGGGATACGTGTTGGTTGCACCCAACAATGACATGTCAATGCACCCCATCCCATTCCCTTGCGTCCCGAAGGATTGAGCGTAATGTCACCACTCAAAGCCACAATCACAGTTTCAATGCAACACTGCTTGTAAAATGCAGGCATCACTTGCTGGCTATCTATGAACAAAAAGCCTGTAAAGTTCAAATGTGACCAGCACAAGCACTAAGGCAGAATAGAACCATACAGTAAAGCTCCCTCTATCCCTGTTCGTTGATCCAATGCCAATAAGAATGAGATGAGTCAGACCAAGGCAGGCAGACACTCCCAGTATCAAGTATGCTCCGCCAAAGTTTCGTGTCATGTAAATTCAACCAGATATTTCCCCGTTTCTTAACCCCGTCAAAGCCCCATATCGCCCAACGCCTGGATGTTCAAACAAAAGAAATGCACAAATATAGTCGTGTTTTATGCCTCGCGTGGTTGTTCGTTACTGGCTCCAGACTAGTCCCCTGGTAAGAGAGACATGGGTGAAACAAGTGGTCATGCGTGGAGTGAGGCTGCGGGTTCCGTGCTCCGGCGTCGTAATACTCAATGGTTAAGAACACCACCGTGAAAGATGGTTGAAGCAAAAAGGGTATAATTTCTCGTAGAAAAATGCTTTTGTTATGTCGTTGATGGACTCGTCCCGATGTTAGAATCGACCCTAACTAGAATCGCCGACCGGTAGACGAAGACCTGAGAAGCTGCGGCGTCGGCCCCATGTATGGAGCAGATTCATTCCGTTGTTGTAGAAATTCATGAGATTAGCGTCACTTGGAGAAAGGTTTGTCGTTTGCGATAGTGATTGCGGCTCAGACTGTAGAACGCGGCGGAGTATGCGGTGAAGAGACTCGGGGATCTCGTCCCATCGGCCGGCTCGGGCGGTGGTAAGCAAGCCTGGAGGGAAAAGCGCACCAGGAGTGGCATTCTCGTGGAAGACGTGGTCGTTTTCAAGACTGATATCACCCGATTCAATGGCGTTCTTGAGCCACTGTTCCCATTCCTCGTCGAGCACGGCTGTAGTGTCACCGGCCTCACGTCTTGCAACTCCATCTCTGAGACGCTCGTTCAACTCAACGCCTACACTGTCCAGCTCATCTTCGCTCTCGACGTCCATATCGTTGTCGAGATCATCAAGTCCAACATAGCCGACCTCTGCAGAACGGCTGCGGGAAGAACGAGGCAAATGTTGAATATCGGTCCAGTCGGGGAATCCGTCGGCGGTGGTATCATGAATAACGTAACCCTGTTCCTTCTCGTACTTTTCCTTGGCCCATTTGGTTCCCTCCCACTTGGTCAAACCAGCGATTTCGGCATCGGTAAGCTGAAGGTTGTCGAAAGCGCGGAAAAGGCGTCGGTGCCAGGCCCACCGAGAAAGGCGAATACGATGGGTTTTGTGAGTGTAATCGAGGCCAGGGTATTTCGCTTCCTGGGTGTCGAGGTGGCCGTAAAAAGCGTGAGTTTCCTGGCGAACCTCTGGAATCAGGTTTCGTTGGAGGAGAATTTGGAAACTTTGAGGATCGTTGCTTTTAGGTCGAGGAAACATGCACTCGTAAACGAGCTGATCGACAGGTTGGCCCTTCATGATGATAGTAGAATGAGGCCGATTTCGGCTTCACGGTGGTATTAAGTTATGGTCGGTCGTAAGAAGTGAAGAATTACTGGTAATTCCGTTATGTCGTTGTGAAACTATGGCCGTTGGTAAAATCGACAGGATCCTCTCGACCACGCGATTGGAGACGAAGAAAGTGTGAGTTGTAATAACTGCGCCGAACTTGAAGCTGACTGCAACTGGAAATCGAGGCTGGGTTGGCCTTTTAGATTTTGATCGCTCGGGCGTTCTCGGCGGGGTGAAAGTATGGTACGGTTAGGCAAGGGACGGCGAGGCCGAGTTTTGGCTTTTTTATTGACGCAGGGCAGGACGATCTTTTGATTTGTACCTGAATGTGTGACTTGCAGTAGACAAGTCCGATTTGAGAGTGAGGTTTGTGCAAAGAGGAGGAAAAAGAGGAGAGAGAAACAGCTTCGTAAGACAAGGGAGAGGGACAGCAAGTTTATATGTACGTGTATGTATGGCTACCTATGCTATGTTATGCTATGGCATGCATTGAAACGAAATGAAATGCATTGGACAAACAAGATGGATGGACACAAGACATGCCATGCCCATGCCTGGTTCAGGGAAGGAGGGGCGCGCAAGGCGAAAGAAGGCGGCGGCAGGGAAAGGAAGGGAAAAAAGAGAAAAAGGTGGGCTGGAACTTAACTTTCAAGGGACAAGGGGGACAAGTCAGGGACCTGGGACTGGTCCTCTTCGGGAGGCTACAGCCTGTAGCGGAAGCATTTGATAGGCTCTTGTTGATTCTGAGGCCGGGACCTAATGCGCCTGGTCTAAGTTGAGGGTGGGTGAAGAAGCCAAGAACTAAGCCATCAAAGTGCTAAAAAGTAAGCGGTCAGGCGCTGACAATGAGTGATAAAGTCCTTTCCTTCCTTGAGTACACATATTGAAGGACTACTACCTCTTCCAATGTTGATGTCTATCATGTTGTACTATATGACTGATTGTCAAGTCTGTGCTGTGTCTGTGTCCGTGTCCGTGTCAGTGCCGCGTCTACAAATGTGTAACCAGTTTGTCGACGCTTGGACTGGTAATCTGATGTATGGAATTTACAGATTACACAAAAACTGTTACTGTATGATGTAGCAGGCTGTCCACAGAGTCTAAGCTGGGTTGTGTTGCGGCCCGAAAGGTCAAGGACTGAGGTAATTCTGTATCAACCATCGTCACATGAAAGAGCACCCTCTTGTAAATGCCAAGTTGGAGTAAACTCATACAATCTGACCCTGGAATTACATGGATATTATTTGAAAACATCTTCAAGGGCGTGTATTTTGAACGACATGCTAAACGAGATAGGCACGACATCTACCATTTGTGCACATCACCAAATGCTCATCAGTCAAGTAATACGTCACTAGGCAGTTGATCTCAATACGATAATCATGCGAATACATTCAGAACTTAAAGTATCAAGTCCATAATCATTCAATGTTCTCGTGGCAGATCGTCACGAGATTGGCCCAGCGAAAAAGAAATCTGCGAGTCACGCGCCCTGCCAAACGACTGATTTCACTCTCTAGCTCCACCATATCCTATCTCTTGACTCTTTCTTCCTTTTTATCCCATCTCATGCGCTGCTGCTAATGTGATGTTGCATTTTATCCGCTTCTTCGGTTATCATGGACCCTGGTTCTTTTGCATGCTCATGACCGCTTTCCCGGAACGCCGCCGGAGAATAAGTTCCTTCCATTTCGATCTTCACAGAACTCGCACCTCAGGAGCTGGCTGAGGTGACTTGTTGAAACTCTTCATGGGCTCGAGACCCCATCGGCCAAACATGGCCGCATCTTCATCCCAGCCGTTACACTCAGTCGTGAGCATCTTTTCGCCTGTGAAGATGGCGTTCGCGCCAGCCATGAAGCAAAGCGCTTGTTTCTCCTCTGACATGGTCTTGCGACCTGCTGCAATGCGGATGATGGTCGAGGGCATGATGATGCGGGCCGTGGCGATAGTGCGCAGCATGCTTGTGAACTCGACCATGGGTCTATCACCAAGTGGCGTACCCTTGATAGGAACCAGGGCGTTGACAGGGAAGCTCTCCGGGTGACTTGGAAGCGTCGAAACAGTGTGAAGCAAACCAACGCGATCTTCACTGGTCTCTCCAAGACCCAAAATTCCACCAGAGCAAACATTGATGCCAGCATCGCGAACATGGCTCAGCGTCTGCAACCGCTCATCGTAGCTGCGCGTCGTGATAACATTCGGGTAAAACTCTCGACTAGTGTCGACGTTGTGGTTGTACGCCGTGAGACCCGCCGCCTTGAGCTCCTTTGCCTGCTCAGCGTCGATCATCCCCAACGTTACGCAAACCTCCATGCCCATACCCTTGACGCCTTCCACCATGGCCTTGATGTTCTTGAGGCTGTTTTTGCGTCCGCGCATGTCTCGCCACGCGGCGCCCATGCAGAAGCGAGTGCTTCCTTTCTCTTTAGCTGTTCGCGCGGCTGCGAGGACGCTCTCGACGCTCTCGACTCGTTTGGCTGGGACTTTGGTGCCTTCTTGGTAACGGGTGGATTGGGCGCAGTACGAGCAGTCTTCGGTGCAACCGCCGGTTTTGATGTTCATCAGGGTGCAGAGTTGCACTTCGGCTGGGTTATGCCATCGACGGTGTACAGTGCTCTATGGCTGGTATCAGTCATGGTCTACCATGATTCGAGTCGGATTGATGCACAATGGCAGCATCGAAATCTCAAAAAGCCAACAATTGAGCGATGGGTTACTTACAGCTTGGTACGCCAGCTCAAGAACAGGTTGATAATAAATAGCAGCGATCTCATCCTTCGTCCAATCATGTCGAACCTGCGTCGACGAAACAGCCTCCCTCAGAATCTGCTTCCTCTTCTCAGCCCTCTGCTTCTCAACAGCATCATTAGCTCCCGCGGGAGGAGGAGGCGGCTGCGAGGTCTGAGGATGGTAGTCAACAACAGTTGACATAGCCCGGGAATGCTGCCATCTCGCCGAAGCGGGGATGGATAGTCGGCTACTGAGAGTGGCCTGTCGAAGGGCCCTTAAAGGAAGAGGTGCACTGGGCTTCATTGTGAAAGATGTAAAAGGAGTGAGAAAAGAGAATGTGAGATGAAAGAAGAATGCGCGAATTGGATGAAGAGGGACAGGAGCTCGATGTTGAGTAACTCGCAGCCGCACACTAAACCAAGAGAAGACATACATACAACTACAACACCACGTTCACAACTTCCGCGTAATAAACCAGTTCCTGTTGGCGAGCTCTACAGCTACGCCTCATCAGGGTAGCCACCCCACGTCTGGGTTCGGTCAGTCTCCGGCGTAAATTAGCAGTCAACATCTGCAGTAGCTACGGGCTATAGCTCCCAACTGAGTTTCACATCTCCTTGGGGATATGCACCCTTGTTCGTGGTAGTCTCGGCTTCTCGGGGAGCTCTACTTTATCCCTAAATACCATCGCAATCCGTTGTAAACCGCGGGTCCACTGCCTGGGAATCTGACGATGATCTTCGCAGCGGGGAAACAGTCATGTCCTTAAGGGTAAGTAATATGAGAGCAGGCATAGCTTTACACAGATCTAATATAAGTGACTGAACCATACTCAACACTCTATTTCCCTCAGAGCCTCCATCTCGGCCCGCCGCGGGATGACCTTCTTCTTCCCTTTTGTTGAAAGCTTGAACAAGACCCCTGATGTTAATCCGGCATTTCTCGTTGGCTCGCTAAGGTGGAATTCATTTTTTGGTTGAGAAGATGGGGCCGTCGGTAGTCGACAAGTAAGAAGGCACCGTGGTATTCGGCCCCCGGCTGCCCGGCTTAGCTACCGTGATTTGAGCGGCATTTAATTACGGGGGTATGGCGTAATCGTGGGGTTGGAAGCTATTTTGTTGATATTGGTCAATTCAGCTTTGAATATCATCAAGCTTGTCATTCCTGTTGTGTCCTATACTACGCAGCTGTGTATTGAAGTTCCATATGTATTCATAGTCACATTATCGCCCTCATTCTATCCAAAGACGCCATACTACATATCCATATGTACCTGGCTATATCCAATAAAGCCATCCATGAATCCATGTTGAAAATGCTCATTATATCACTTTCCAGCTCCGACGCCCGGTGCAGGTACGGGTCTAAGAAACAAGTTAACATCCCAGCTTAGGGATAAGCCGGTTCAGCGTACCGTCTTCCTGACCCTGCGAGAGGACTCGTCCCCCGCTCATCAGGTGGTAGGCGTTTATCCCATCTCTTCCTCTCAGATCGTGGGTCCCATCCGGGGTAGTCGCGTCTACGCTCGGCGTCTGCGTGGCTGCTAGTACGTCGTTCCATATCTGGTCGGCGCAGGTACCGGTCACGTCGCTCCTCCTCTCGTTCTCGGTCAAGTTCCCGTTGTCGACCCCTGTCACGAATACGTTCTCGTTCTCGTTCACGGTCCCTCTCTCTATCGCGATCT